GTAAGTGGATGTGTGTTCACCCTTAAGAAAGGGGGAGAGGGTCGGTGAAGCAATAAAGGGCTAAACTAGTGTCAAGTGGCACACCAGGCAGAGGAAATGGTCTTGCTACCTTTTGTGGCAGTGATCCAGATTGTAGGGTCAGGAAAATGGAAATATTTAGTTAAAGGAACAAGCAGAATACAAATAAAAGCTTGTTCTGTATATTCCACTTCATAAGACAGCTTGTTGCTGTGGTTTGTAAACTCATATGAAGTGTTCGTTTTCCTTATCTTTCAGTCAGGAGTGTGCGCCTGGTTTATGAAGCTATACGTGAAGTGTGTCTGAACCTGGTGCCTCGCATGGGTGGATGTCCCTTTCCACATCTTTAGTGTGTGATTCTGTTATAACTGAGATTTGAAAGTGTTTCATGAGACGCAACCACCTGTGCTGGCAATACTGGTTTAAGGTTCTTGCATCAGCCATGGAGTGCTTGTGGGTGTGTTGCAAACTTCTCCCCTTACCTCCTGCAACCCTCTCGGCAGCCACATTTGCCGGCTGCTTTTTGCAAGGCCTCTGAGTAATTCGCAACGTGGACCTGCAGAAGATCGTTCTTTCTAAAGAGGGATTTTGAGGGGCGCACATGCTCTGACCTGGGACACGCTGGGGGAGATCCTTTCGCCTGGTGTTGCTGCTGAAGAGAAAGCGTTGCCAAAACGTGGCCTTGCTCTGATGAATTCTGCTGGTTTGGAAATGGCTTGTGAATTTTAAAGTGGTGGAAATGAGAAATCTCATTTTGTTGCCACTGTTGATATTTCATGAGAAAGCAAGTACCTCAAAGTATTAAAACCAAGAAGGGAGGTTGAACTTAGTTACATCTAGCAGACTTCCTCAGGAGAAGTAACTACTGAACCTTTACGCTTGTTTGCTTCAGAGTTTAGGATTGCTTTACGAATGTTGAGATTACCTATTGCTGTGACTGTACTTACCAGGCAGTTGCTGACCTCCCTGTTCCCCTTTTTTGTGCAGGTTTAGAGATGCGGATTTCCTCTTAGGTTTCTCTTAGACTTTTTTTTTTTACTTAAGTTCCATTTTGCCTTTTTACCTTTAAAGTAGAAACAAATTTCCTAAGTTTAGAATTCACTGTTTCATTCCTGTGTATATCAGAAAAACTTATTAACAGTTTGGAAACTCAAGAGCTTATGAAAGGAATTTAATTTTCTTGTAAACTAGAAATTGCTCTTTCCTCAAGAAGAAAATACTCTCTTCTGCTCACTTCTGTCTCCTTTCTGCAAGCCCATGCCCCTTCTTATCCATTCCTTGGGGTGTGACTGCAGAACAGAGTGTCCTCCTACACTGCCAGGTATTGTCGAAGGAAATGAGAAGTGTTTGGTTGCAGGTAAAATTTTGTTTAATTGGTCCGTATCACTTTATTCCGCAGAATTCCTTGAAATGGAATGAGGAGGAGAGTAGTTATTTTTGCTGGGGTGGCAGCAGCAGGAGTGAAAAAGCTGTGTTTGAATAAATATGGGAATGACAGAAGCTTAAAAAAAAACGGTAACACACGATGTGTGTTTATGTTTGTAAATACTAGAGAGCACTGACTTGGCTTTCACCTCCTTAACGTCACCATGGTGCAGATGGAGGAACAGGTTAGTCTCTGTTTTGAAATGAGTTTTGCTGATGGGAGTCGCTTGTCCTTACAGTTGTCTTGAGTTATTTTTGGATTACGTAAAATGGGAGCGCGGTGCAAGTTTCCCTGCTTTTATCGTTTAGTTGAGAGAATCACAAGCAGTCCTACGCTGTGTTTACGATGCTATGATAACTCCTAAAGTCACCAACGCGCTTCTAAAAAGTGAGTGACCTGCCGAGATCTGATGATGTTTCTTGAAGAAGGAGCAGCTGGGGAAAGCCCTGTACTACTACTCAGTAGTTTGAGAGTTAAAAGAACAAGTTGAGTCTTGTTCTCCCAGTAGGAAGAAGATAATAAAAACCCAGAGGTAGCTTAGCACTTGGATTAAAATGCTTTCTTCAAGGTTTTAACCTTTTTGAGAGGGTTGGGTGGAAATGTCTTGCTGCTGGAAAAGATTGAAACTAGAATGGGATACTTTGTAGAGAAAATAGGCAATTAAATGGTCTTGCATGGACAGACTGCGCAAGATATGGAGTCTGTAGGCATGGATGGCATGCCAAATACTGAAGAGCTGGGGAAAACAAAAGTTTAGCGTTTCTGTACTGAAAAGTTCTGATGCTCAAAGCCAGTGTCATGAACAAATATTTGACTGTAGAGAAAGGAAGCTTTTTTTCTTCTTTGCACTAAAAGGAGACCTCTTAGACACAAGGAAGAAACTCATTACAAGGGTGGTGAGGCCCTGGCACTGGCTGCCCAGAGAAGCTGTGGATGCCCCATCCCTGGAAGTGTTCAAGGCCAGGTTGGATGGGGCTTTGGGCAACCTGAAAGATGCTGAAAAGATGTCTGTGCTCATTGCAGTGAGAGTGGGTTAGATGGCCTTTGAAGGTCCCTTCCAACTCAAAGCATTCTGTGATTCTAGACTCTGCATCTGTAATGAATGCTGCGAAGCAGGGTGGGTACAAGTCCTGCTGACACTTTTTGTACAGCTATTTCTTCTGCCCTAGGGGCAGCCCAGGTCCTGGAGTCTGTATGTCCAGGTAAGGTTGATGTGTACGTACCTTTGAAGGACTTTGGGGTACACTGTGTTGTGCTTAGACGTAGGACGTGAATGAGCTCATCTCATCCTTAGTTTGAAAACTAATCTGAAGACTTTTGCTTTTGAATTAGTAGGAGGAAGTCTTGCTAGTGGGAAGAGGAGGTTAGGGTGGGGAATTAGTTATACAAGTGTGTACTTTCAGTAAAAGAAAAACTGCAGTTGAATTGAGCAACATTCAATCAGTAAAGAAGTTTTGTTTAGCACTGTGGCAGCAAACAGTGTGCACACACATACACAGGTGTGGTGTCTTCAGCCTTGCAGGAGGATCTCAGCTGGTTCAGAAGGGGCAACCTCTGTGCTGGAGCTCCTGGTGTGCCTGGCGCAAGACGAGTGTTACCAGCACATGTCATCCTAAAATTTGCCCTGTTATGTGTTAGTTTGAGATGTTGATGCAGCCTCTGTAGGTGAGGATTGCTTTGGTTTCCATTCCCGTGTGCTCGTATAGACAATATGCAGATGTATGCATAAATGTTTCAGTTCAGCTGGAAAATGCCCCTGCGCCAGCTCTTGCTCCGGGCGCACAGTCGGCAGCAGCAGCAGCGAGCCGAGGAGCTGGGAGCGTGTGGTTACTGCCGTACAACTTGCGCGGCTGGGTACAGCTTGAGGTTTGACCGAGAGCCCCTGAAGCAGCAGTGCTGTTGCTCCGAGATCTGCTCAGACGCCAAGCCTGCCCTCCATCTTGTGTCTGTACAAGGTTTTTTTCCAAAGGGACTGCAGTTATTTATTTTCCCCTTGTAGATGACTGCCGTGTTTTAAGTCGTGGATTGATCTTATTCTCTACTGATCTTGGCACAAAAGCGGGCTTACTTGTAGTTAACAGCAACTTTGGGTGTTGGTTAAATAGCTGAATGTAATTACTCTCTTATCTATGGTGTTTCATTTTGGGTTTTCTTATTAATTTATAGAATTTGAAAGGAATTCTACTTTTCAGGTGTGAGGTAAAATTGATGTTGCTTTCATTATAATACTTGTCTTCTCTGTAATCTGTCCAGTTACCCAAATCTGAACCTCAGGTTTAATCTCATATGTACAGACCTGCTTCACGATACGTTTCTGAGTAAACAGGTCTTCCGTAAGTTAAAAAGTAAATGGTGACCATAACTTTTTTGATTGTCTGTCTTAAACCAGAGGGTACTGCAAGCTGGAAGCTCTTAATCATTTACACTTGCTTCATCTTCATCCAGTAGTTTATTTACTCTGTTATGCTGTAGCCTTAAATTTGCACGTCCGCTGATAGAGTTATCAACACTTCTAATATACAGGAGACAAGGATTAATCTGATAATTCTTGTTTGCTCTATGGTAGTTTCAAACAGATGCAAGTACTTGTTAATCTTCTACTTCCTTTAGTTTTATTCCAACTTCAGCAGGCAAGGCTCATTTATTTTGTTAATTTGCTATGAATGTACTGTTGTTTCCTGTCTGAATTGCATACGTCTCATTCAGCCAGAAGATTTAATTTGAAGATTGTACGCTTGACATCTGAGGCGCTTAAGCAGGGCTCAAAATTCCCCTTGCCATATGTAGATGCCACGCGGCAGGTATTTCCTCAGTGAAGCTGGTATTTTCAAAATACATCTGCGAAATAGGGCACGCTGTTCTTTCTGCCATCTTCTGAACTTCAGAACAATCTTCCTTGGATTCGTTCAAGCCAAGGATGGCTTTCTGTCTAATTCTCAGTAAGTGCGTAACCTTCTTCGTTTCATCCGGTAGGAACACCACACGCGTGGCAGGTGCGGTGGCCCAGAACTGCTCACTCTTATTAGTGTTTATAAATAACCTTCATAGTGTGGAGAGTCCTCAGCAGTCATTAAATAAGCAAGAAGCGAGAGCTCTTGGTACCTCTTGAGCTATTCTCTCCCTGCCAGCATCAGAACCTCACTATCTGAAGGCAACAGTTTGTGCTGGAAATGCTGGGTAGTTCTGGAGGTATCCTCGCAGCTCAGGTGGAAGTCGTGATAATTTTCTGATCAGAACAGGTCTTTTTCTGCTACTGTTTTTCTTGCGAGTAGCTCTCATGCTGAGAGGCTGGAGAATGTAAATTGTATGTGTGTGCTTACGTGTGTGGGATTCATAAAGCATTTAAGAATGTAAGAGGATTGCGGAGATTGAATCATTATCTCAGTTGCTGTATGGCTTTCACCCTAGGAGTATATAAATATTTTGATTATAAAGCATGTATCAGTTTGTGTTTAATGATTGATTCATGTTTAGAAGGGAGACGCTTATGGTTTATGTTTGCATTTTATACTTATTTTAATCATGCTTTGTTTTTTGTTTTTTGTTTTAATTGCAGCAGCTGTTGCCGGGTAAAAAGTTTTGGGAATCTGATGATTCCAGCAAAGATGGACCAAAAGGGATATTTCTGGGAGATCAGTGGAGAGACAGTGCTTGGGGAACATCAGGTAGCTCAACTATTTACTTAATTTAGTTGGGGTTGAATACAGAAATGTGCAAATCATCTACTCAAAATTACTGGCCAGTCTGGATGACACAGCTTTTAAAAGATTTTTAAAAACATCTGTTTCACATAATAGAAAACTAATAGAAAAACCCACATTGCTTTGTGATAGAGTTAAAAGATATCCACAGTTATAAAAAGATTGTTTAATGTGAACATGTGTACCCTTATGTTTATCTGCTTAAAATTTTAGATTGCCATTAAAATTTCAGTTTAAACTCTCTGATGTATTCTCTGCCTTGGGATGGATGACTTGAAGTTTGAACAAAGATATTAGAGAACAAGATCAGTAAAAAACCCCACAATCAGCCCACAATCTTTTAATACTAAACCAATGAACCAAAACCCAGCAACATTCAATTTAAAAAAGAAAAAAAAAAGTGATGTTTTGAATTAGTAGTGTTTAAGTTTATCTGCCAAGAATTTTGTTCTTGGATCAGAGACTGTCGCTTATTTGAATTTAAGGGGCAAGTGTTCAAGTTGGTTTTAGTTAAATGGCAAAAAAATCACATGCATGTGCTGAATTTGAAATGCTAACCTTTTACTTTTTATTTTCTGTGCTTTCTCTATGTAATGAATATGCTCCTTAAACACTGCTGAGTATCTCGTGCAGTTCCCAAAAAACTGCACGGAACTACAGCTCCAGGAGATATGCGATTTAGAAGAACTTCACTGTTGTGTGGGGCTTTTTTTTTCCCTGCTGAAAATACCCATTATTAGAGTGAAGGTATTGGGATAGTGATAAGGGCATTTTTTATTATTTAAATTTCCAAATCGCTGTGAAAAAGGGATAAATCTTCTCAACATCTGGTCAGCTGAATGTTGCAGTCTGGCTGGGTACCAGGGAGGTTTTGGGGAGCTGCTGTCCCCAGCTGTGACTTGCCTGTCAGCAGCGGATGTCCATAGCAGCGCCTGCACCCCGTCCTCAGCAGCAGCGTGTGCCCGGGCTGTGTTCGTACCGACTAAGTGGAGGGTGGGTGACAGGGCTGAGCCAGACTCCGAAGAGCAAGAGCTGAGAAGGAGACTTTCTCCTTCATGCCTCTGCTGTTGGGCTGGTTCCACTCACCAGACAGGCAGGGTAGACATCTGGGGGAGGTAACCTCCTACCCTGGCTCATCGCAAATCTCCATGAGTCAAAGCCCTTCGTCTCATCTCTTCCTTTGTTTATTCCCAATTAATCCTGTGCACCTTAAAGCCTTTATTCCTGAGCCATGGCCTGAAATGGTGTCTGTGAGTCAGGGAAGTCATAGTTTCCCCTTTTGCTCATCTAAGATGAAGAGAACAGCCGTGGGCTGAGAAGTTGCTCAAGGTTGCAGCCCCAGAGCAAGGACCACAGCTTGGAGGTGGGGTGTGGAAATCTCCTTGGCCAGAAGACTAGTTTGTTCCATGAGCAGTGGAACTCATGAAGCCCGGTTTTCTGTAAGATGCCCTTTGCTCCATCCATTTTCCTTTCTGTCTGTGTCCACAGTATGTGCTGCAATCCTCCCATATGGCTTTGGTTCTTCGCTACTCAACCTTGAAGTTGTAGCTTTAAAGCATTTAAAGCCAGTATTGCTAAAAGGAGCAGTCCTGTCTGATGCAGGCTGTTCCTTTCTTCCCCTCTGGGTGGTACAAGTAGTTATGCAGCAGTGCAGTGAAACCTGCTGTGGGGAATAGATTTGGGTTAGAACTAGCTTTTTTGTTAGCTTTATCCCCAAAAAGTCTCCCCAGTCCATTTCACTTTGTGGCCACATAGATGCTTGTGCTGCCTTGAGGGAGAAGGCAGGAAAGCGTAGCCAGGAGCAATGATAGAAAAGAAGGACTTCTCTTGACAGCTTACATCTGTTTTATAAGGAAGCTACAGCATCGATAGCGTTGCCTGTCCCTCCCCCATCACCTGGCAACTACCCGATCTGCTGCATGTTGTCATTGACTCGCTGACTCTTGCCAGTCTGAGCAGCCAGAAGCAGAGAACTTCTTTCCTTCCCTCGTCGGGGATGGAAGATCACCTTCTGCTGCCCAGCCAGCAACGTCTGCAGAGCTGATAAGGACTTGGAGACATCGATCCTTAGTCTGTTATGGTTGGATCTCAAACCTTCGTGCTGCAGGGATGATAAAGAGATGGAGCAGGGCAGGAGGACAGGGGGATGAGGAAGAAGAAATGAAGTTCTCCTGAACTTTTTCTTGAGGAAATAGCAGCTAAGAGAAACTCTGATCATGACATGAATATGGCAGCCCAAGAAAACAAATATAGGCTGATGTAACGGTAGGATGATGTTTTAAATGACAAACCAAGACTGACTGTTTTTTCACTGTACCAATGCAAGAGTTTTAGTAAAACTTAGAAGTAGAATTTTTGTTTTTTAATTGCAACCTTTAGGGACTTAAATTTCTGAAATTTTATGATTTTAGACTTTAAATGTAGTTATCGCTTGTAGGTTTACAGGTTCTAGTATTTAAAAAATGAGAAAGCCATCCTGCTTTTTCTAATGGACATCATCAGAGTCAAAAAGTTGGCACTTCTTAGTACAATTAAGACACTAGAGAGTACGAATTTAATTACTTGCCTCCTTTGAATAGTTGGATCTACTTATGAGAATTACACATGTTTTTGTTCCAGATCACTCTGTTTCCCAACCAATTATGGTTCAGAGAAGACCTGGTCAGGGGTTTCATGTGAATAGTGAAGTCAACTCAGTGCTTTCACCACGGTCAGAGAGTGGAGGACTTGGAGTTAGCATGGTGGAGTATGTGTTGAGCTCATCTCCTGGAGATTCCTGCCTAAGGAAAGGAGGATTTGTAAGTGTGCCTGATTCTGACATTTGAGTTCCCATTATGTTATTTTCTCCATTTGCTGCTTGGTTTGTTTGTTTGTTAATCCATTCCTAAAGGCAGATGTTTCTTCTTTCTTTTGTTTACTCTTAGTTTAGCTAGTTATCTTAAAAGGGTAGGCTAGCAGTTTAACCGTTGTTCTTGACTTAGGGGATGCAGTGTGGGAGCGGGGTGTAAAGGATGTGAAGGTTGCTGACGTTCCCTGGTTCTTCGGATAAGCACACCGGCAGTAACGCCCCATCTAAGCTTGTCGTTGGAAAAGTATGCAAATATACCTGTGGTTTTTGAATGAGCGTGTGGCTGCTTTGTTGCTGGCTAAGAACAAAAAGCTCCATGTAACGATGCTAGAAACGTAATGTAGCTACAAAAGCCACTCCAGCTGGGGAACGCTTTCAAGGGCATAGCGTTTCCTATGGAGAAATTGCATTAGTCACCGGGCTTCGTGGGGTGGGATGGGAGCACAGTCGCTGCCGCCTCGAACCTAAGGATGCGGTGAGAGAGGCGGAATCAAACCCCATCCCTGTAGTGGGGAGAAAGGGGCTGCACCTCAGCTCCACCTCATCGGCCAGGTGCTAGATCAGGAGTTGTCGAAAAACATAAAAGTGGAGTAGGTTTGTTACTGTTGGACTGCTGTGCTCATCTCTTCAGGGAGCCCATTTGTGGTTTCCTTCATCCATCCTCTTATTTTTTTTGTCCCTCATTAGTGGGCACCTGACAACCTTGTTGAACCCTGAGCCTAAGAAAGATGATTTGTGAGAAAGGAAAGATCAGTGGAAGGAGCCAATTTATCATCTGAATTGGGGGTTAGAGAGGGGTCTGCTCTGCAGCGTTGATAGTCAGGATGCCGGTTCTGAGACAAAGGGTTTCGCTGGTGAATATCACATTGTGTGGGTGAGAACTGGCCTCCAAATTTGTATTTATAATTGGCATTTCCCAGCCTGCCCTTTAATATTAAGGAAGCATGATTTTCTTTTATTTAAGAAGAAGCTTCAGAAGAGGATTGCTTTTAAAACAATCTTCT